TTTTTTTTTTTTTTTGTTTCGATTTCATTCACAGTCAGGTATATTCTGCAACGACTTCTCCTCGCTTGTTGCTTCGCCAGTTCGTCCGTTCACGGTGAACTGTCGGATACGGCAGTACAGATCATTCGATAAAGTTACAGCGGTTACCAACGACGTGAGAGTTTCTCGTCGGAGGTTGGATCGCTTGGCACCGATTGTCGAACTAAAGTCGAGAACAAAGACGGAAGATCGATTTTCGTAATTCCCCTATATGGAAAAGAATTTCAGGACGTACGGCGATTATCGTTTCGTGGTCGCGGCGATTTCGTCGCGGGCATCGAGAGCTCGAAGGATAGACAGGACGAGAAGCGCGAGAAGAAAGAAGAAAGGTGGTGTTGTATCGTGGAGATCGAAACGTGGACGCGAGCGCGGTTACCGTTATCGTAATGGCAAAACGGAGAGAAAAAAGAAAAGAAGAAATCATCGGTGACAATACGATTGGAGTAGATAGATGGATAGATAGATAGACAGATAGATAGACAGATAGATAGATAGATAGATAGATAGATAGAAGACGAGCAAGAGGCGTAAGAGTGTAGTCACGCGTTCGACCGAGCAAGTCGAGCGTGGAGGTCGTGGTGGAGATGGAGATGGAAATGGAGATGAAGGTGGAGGTGGTGGTGGTGGTGGATATACCGCGGGAGAGAGGCGGGTCACGTAATAAAAAGGACGAGAAAGAAAAGGTGAGAAGTAAGATTATTTATGCGCGTAAGAAGCGACGGGACAGAAGTCTCGCGATCGCTCGTAATCGATGCTTTCTTTTTAATGAAAGGCAGTGGGGGGTGGAGCGACTCGCTCACCTGCAGTATCGGCGGATGCAGGTGCAGGCGCGGGTACCGGGGCGGCAGGAGCGGAATTTCGTGCCGCTCTTCTCCTCTCCTCCTCCTCTCTAAGCGCGGCTTGCTCCCGTGCTTGCCTCAGCCGATGCTCCTCCTCCAGTTTCAGTCTGAAACGAGAATGGCACGGCCGTTAATAAACAGGGTCCTCCGGAGGTGTGCCGGCACATTTTCGTCCACTGGCTTTCTTTACTTACCGCTCGTGCATCACGGGAGACATCAGTCCGAGGGATGCAGGCGGTAGCATGTCCGGACTATATCTTAACCCGTATAGAGGATACGAGGGTAACCCAGGAAATAACGGTGGTCTCAGCATTCCACACCGTTCCAAATACAACTGTTCCTCTAATCTGCGTATCGAGAATGAGAAAGGTTATAGGACGCAACACGGTTAAACGGCCAGGCCGCTCTCTGTTCGGTAAAACCGATCGTTCGCGATGATAGGCTCGATACGGTTGCGTCGGCCGATACGTTACCTATAAGCGTGTTGAAGGTGTGGCGGTGGGTAGAGACCGTGATGATAAGGATTGTAGGCCGCAGGATCCAAGGCAAAAGCCGGTGGAGCGTGGGCCGGATGGTGTTCAGGCCGGTACGGTTGAAAACCGGAACGAGCCAGCAATTCGGAAGCAGCGGCAGTTACGCTGTGTTTGCTGGTATCCGCGGGTCTCGCAGTCGTGTACAACGAGGGAATCTCCTCTGGTCTTCTTTCGTGCGTCGATCGTTCCTAAAATACCAATTTCCTGGTTCATTAATCCTTGCCACCGGTTACCCCCCTCTCACCCGAGAGCTTCTTTTCCGCGCCATCGCCGTATCCCGTTGTTTCGTCCCGTGGTCAACCTCCACGATCGTTACGCGCCAAACGATTACCAATTCGCGGTAGATACGCGCGCGTTTTCGTGTCGACGAGGGGACGAGGAACCAAAAAGGGTCGAGACGACCAGTAGCGGGGTATTCCCCGTTTTTTTCTCGGTCAGGACAAGTTCGAGACATTGGAGGTGAAAAGGAAGCGGGTAAAAGGAAAGAAAGGAAACGGCACGGTTGAGGGGTCGTTGGGTCGGTCGCAGCGATTACTCACCTTAGCAGGGGAAGGACCTCTAACCAGAGGTGGTGGCGCTCGATTCTTGGGACTCGCGCGAGGTTCTTCTTCCTGAGGTGCCGGCCCTGCCTGTTTAGCCAGGTTTCTCAGAGCGGCGGCAAAACTTCTGCTATTCTGTTGACCACCTGGACCGGGTCCTGGGGTATGACCCTGAGGTAAAACGCCGGAACTGGGTCGGTGAGACTTGCTGATCGTGGTGGGTTGCGCTTTGGTGCTGGCAGGCTGGAGACCTGAAACAGATCGCGAGAGTTCGATGAGACGAAATTTCGCACGGTCATTCGTTCCATGCAAACATTCCGTTAAATCCGTTCCGGCAATTCCCCGAAACGCGATGATTCGATACGGCGTGTTTGTCGGCTATTCGCGGAAAAGTTACGAGATCCTTCGCGGAGATACACGCCCGTGGTTTCTTTCTTTCGCGAGGGCACATGGGTCGAGCGACTGTCGTCGGCACGCCTTCGGCGAGGTCGATCGGTCACTGTCGACGTCGTTTTGCAAGATTAATTAAACGCGACCGACAAAATCGGGAGAGAGAGAGAGAGAGAGAGAGAGAGAGAGAGAGAGAGAGAGAGAGAGAGCGGATCGCGATACGCGACAAGATTACGCGAAATCGTATATAGCGGTGGATGAATATCGAAAATCGGTGATCCCAACGAGCGAGTGGAACGTCGCGTGGTCGTCGGGATCCGAAGACCGTTATAAAAATGGACTCGGTCCAAGATATCGATCTTGCTCGGAGCAAAAGTCAAATAGGTCGTACATCCATTCGCGTTACCGTCCATTTCGTTATATTTATAATAGCTCGTCATAGGGGTCGCACGAATAACACAGGCGATAAACTTTGACTTCTAACGGAATGTTCGTTGGGCGAGTTGAAGTTCTTATATAAATTTCGCGAAACAAAGTACAAGACAGGCGAAATACGATAACGCGTCTCTCAGTGTCTAGGACGATAATGCAGGTTGATTTTAATTTAAAGGAAAAAAGCGGGGAAAAAAAGAGAAAAAGAATTCATAATTCACCGAGAGTATGACGACAGCTATAAGCAGCATGCATTAGAGAAGCCGTAATAAAGTATCGTTCGAGCACTGACAGGCATTAATTATTTTCTATGACTACGACGAATATTAATTGCAACTTTTAATCTAGGATATAATTAATACGACGGTAACACGGCTGTTGGAACGATTACGAGCTTCTCCTATTGATATTTGTCGACGTGTCGCATCGCGCGACGCAGTTACCACCTCCTGCGCGATTACGCGAGGTGTTCCTTACGATATTCAACGAATCGGCTAGACGCTCTCTCTCTCTCTCTCTCTGTCCTTTTTATCCTTTTCTCTTTGCTTCTTAACGTTACTTCCCTTCCTGTTTTTCTTCTTTTTTTCCTCCCTTTTTCATCTCTTCGCTTTTCATCGAACGGAAAGAAGGAAAGCGTTTCTTCGAAGTTGTTTGCGCACGATACGAATCTGCGATTCCACGGAGGAGCCCGTTGAAAAGAGTAAGCGGCTCGGAAGAAAAAAAACCTTCAAACCGGATCGATCTTCATCGAAAAGACGCCAAAGCGCGAATTCATTCTTTCGCGTTTTGTCCTTTTTCCCTCCGCGTCTCTTTCTATCTCTCTTTTTTTATAAATCAAGGATGAGCTAGGACACGTCGGCATCCGGGCGGTCCTTTGTCTGGGCCGGTGGTGCTCGGCAAAGAAAGAGACGACCAACGGTGGTCCTATACCTTATACTTTATCCGCGTTTGCTGCCTCACTGGCGCGCGCGTGCGCGCGAAAAAGCCCTCCGGTTAAAACGAGAAAATAACAGGGAGAGAATACCCGATGGCTCTCTCCGCGGTGATTCCGAGGATGGTTTTCACCCTCCATTCAATTCCTCGTCAGCAAAGCGCACACATCTTCGCTTCCTCTCAACGGACACGCGACTCTTCCTCCTCTCCTTCCCGCTTCGCCCTGCTTCGCCCGTTTCGCCCATCCAGGTTTCCTCTCCTTTTCTCTCTCTCTTTCCAGTTTTACCCTCGCGAAACGCTCGGCTTCGGAACGCGATTTCTTTTCATTCCCGTACTCTCGTTGCTCGCTCCTTTCTCCGTCGCCCCATCGTCGTCTTAATAACCTTTCTTCCTAGCCTTCCATCTTCGAACCCCTGCGCTACCCCGTTCTCTTCTGTCGCTTCGCGTACCCTCGTCGGAAGGACGAATATACTCGCGAGCGAGGCGAGCTGCGCGGTAAAAGAGCATATCGCGCGTATTTAATCTCGCGATCGCGAAACGGTTCGGTCCCCGAGTCTGTCGGCGTCGCGGAGCAAAGGGGACTAGAGGGGGAGGTCTGATCGGTCGGGAAGGGAACCTCGAGAACGGCGAAAACGCGCGTGGATGCAAGCTAGCGGTGGATAGAGCCGGGGGGGGGCGAAAGAGGGATCGAAGGGAGCAAAGAGAAAACGACATTCGCCGACGCGAACCACGACGCGAACGACGAAGCGGAGAGCAGAGGGTGGTGGGTTGACTCGACGTCGGAAGCACAAGGATTCCAGCGAGTGGAAAGGGTGTAGAGGGTGGTGTTAAGCGGCTTACAGTCTGTTACCATGGTAACGCCACACCACTAAGACAGGAAGAGCCTGAATCCAGCCCGCTACAGTCCCCGTGACCCTCTCCGTGTACACCCTATCCGCGCCGCTCCTGCATCCTGCGGAAGAACGAGGGAGGAACCAGCGGCGCGCGATACCAGCGAGCGGAGAGCGGCTACGCCGGATAAAGAGCCAGGGATTACGCCACTGACTCTGTTTTTACGCCAAAGTGTTTTCACCGACCTCTAACGCGTGTACGCGCGCGTATGCACGCATACGTACACGTGTACACGAACGTCGAAGCACGATCCTCGGCCTCGCCCCGAACGAATTTACGTCGACCGTGGAAAATCGACGGCTCGAAAATTCTACCGCTCGTTCCGTCCGTGATATCCGTGAAATCGCCGCGGTCTAACCGCGTAATCGCTTCGTCGGTCGATTCGTATTAACGGCCCATCTCCCGTGTCGCGTATTTCCCCGTTGCTTAAACGGTTACTCGGGAATAACGAGTACCCGTTTTATCGGAATTCGAGCGCGACACGGCCACAGCCGGCGAAAACGATCCCGAACGCGAACCAAGTCGGAAATGTCCTCGAATAGTCCGTTTCCGCCTTCGAAACGGACTATTTACACCCCGCAGTTGATAATTTCGCCACGGCGAATCGAACGCTCAACCCCAAAGTGCGCGATAATAACCGCGAGTTCCGTTGCAAGCAGACGCGCCGAGTATCGTCGATCGTCGAGGACGTGCAAAGCAGAGACACGGAAAGAAAGTGAGAGGAGAGAAATAAAATAAAACGAAAAGAAAAACGAGCGTGGCAAAATCGCCGTATGAAACACCCTTTGGCTTCGGATCGTTTATACCCGTTCCTCCGATGGAAGACGAGGGTGAATACGCGATACCTTTTTTCCCTCGGTCGAAAGACGATAAACAACAGGTGGGAACATTGTCGTTTTATCGCACGGGAAACCGAGGCGTATAACGTAACGGTGGAAGGCATCCGTTTTATAAACGCGAGAACAAAATTCTGACGGGCAGACGCACAGAAGCCGTATTCTTTTTCTCTCGCGCACCGACACCTATCGATTTTCGCGTCGCGATAAACGAGTACCGTTTCGGCGCGTGTATAAATCGTCACGGGCAGAGCGCGCAACTACGAGGAATGTCGCTGATTCCTCCCATTTCTTACACACGCGCCGCGACACCATTAATCTCGCGCGAAAATCATACTTTTAAATCGGCCGAGCCAGGCGGCGATATCGCGGTCGGAAGCGCGTAATTTCGTCATTTTTCAGCACATCATTTCTCGGATGGAACGAGAAAGAACGAAAAAGGAAGAGGAGAAAGATCGATGGCATTTGCCGAAAATTGGGAAACGCTTGAAAGAGGTGGGGGAGGAAGAGGGACGAGAGAGGGTGGACGCGAAAGAGCTCTCTCGATAAAATCGACCTCGCTCTCCTCTCTCCCAGATTTCTATCCGTTCGCGGAAAACACGAGTGGCTCCTTTGGTAAAAACTATCGAGCAAGCGAATATTTCCTCCCTCCGCGCGACGCTGGCTGCCAAACTTTCGAGTAGTCTGCGGCCACGATCGCGTACGAGTCCGCGCCAACCCGGTATCCACCGATCGTTCCTACCAGTTCCCAGTCGAAATTCGAGCACGCTCCGATCGTACAACTTTGTTCTCGATCGCGGCACGAAATTCCGCGAAAGTTTCGACGGAGAGCGGAGCGTGGCGCGAGAAAGATAACCGGAGAAAAGTAAAAGTGGCGATATTCGGGAATCGCCGAGGAGGAATGGAAATTCGAGCGAGCACGCGCCCTCGCGAACGCGACTTTACGTGCCAGCGAATTCTCCGGGGTCGTAAATTCCGAGCAATATGCACGCGGTTACACCGACGACGTCGAGATTCTCGCGTTCGATGCGACGCGCGGATACGCGTATGCACGCCGCGTATAAGAGGATACCGGGAAATGGAGGACGGTGAAACGGAAAAAGAGAAGAGTCGGCGGAAGCGAGATGGAGGAGGAGGAGAAGGAGGAGGAAAGCGGTATCCAAGCGTCGCTCGATATTAAAACGCCGGAAAAAAGCCACGACCTGTCGTCTTACCGGGATAAACTTCCGCCCGCGATACCTTCGGTTTTCCGGAAAATTTCCTCGTCGCGCGGAAACGCTTTCGCCGGTTTCCACGAAGCCGGAGGTCGGGAAAGAAAAACGAGAGGGTACCGTGAGAAGGGCAGGGGCGCGTGAGACGACAGGGCGGAGAAGCGGAAAGAACGGAAAGGGGGAGAGCAACCACCGGGCTTCGTGTCAGATCGTGGTTGACCTTTTCCCGCTCGAGCCCCTGACTCTTCGTGTACCCTTCGAAGCCGAGTTCCGCGTGAAAAATCGATGCCGGAAGGACTGTCGCGGCAAATTATAAAGGGGAAACGACCTGTCCGTTACGGCGAACCAGACGATTTCGCGGAAATCGACGAGGATGGCCGCGCGACGAACGCGGTTGCGAAGAAACGGGGGGAAAATAAGGAGAAAGAAACGGCGAACGGGTTGATTCTCGATCAGGTCGAGCCCGTTCTAATGGCGCGTAGTAGGTTCGCGTTACTTTGCCCTAGCTGAAACCGCGTTTTTTCTTTTATTCGCGAACGGTGTGCGCGCTTTGTACGG